CACAGTCATTAATGAATCTTTTTATCTTCTTAGTTTTCCACTCCTTGATTAGAGAGAAAATTTTGCTTTTTCATTTTAATTTCTAGGAGATTTCCTATTCTTTATTTTTAAAATCTTCTATAGCATTTTAATTTTGTTGACCATATATTTATTGTTTTTTGTCCTTTGAATGTTCGTCGTTTTTTTTTTTTTTTAAGATTTTTAATTTATTTATCTTTAGAGGAGAAGGGAAGGAGAGAGGGACAGAAATATCAATGTATGGTTGCCTCTCGTGAGTCACCTGCTGGGACCTGGCCTGCAACCCAGGTATGTGCCCTGATTGGGAATCGAACTGCGATTCTCTGGTTCGTGGGCCTGCACTCAATCCACTGAGCTATACCAGCCAGGGCTTGTTTTTTTTTGTTGTTTTTTTTTAGTATGCAGTTCTTGTTTTATGGTTGCAAAATCTTTATCACTTGACTATATTTCCTCTAATTTCCTTTTCTCTGTTTTTGTTTCTATCTTTCATGTCTAATGAACATTTATTGCTTGTACATAAAAGGGAGTCATTAAAAATAAATGATTGGGTGAGGCTCACTGACTGGCAGCCTGACCAGATGTGATCCCTTTCACTGGGAGACTCCCAACGACAGTAAGTTTCCTCTTGGATTATTTAATTTTAGAGACGAATGTACTTCCATGTTCTGCCTGGGGTGGGGGGAGTTCAGTTGGCTGCACTTGTTCTGAGTATAGGTAGGAAAGAGGGACAGAAAAATCTTGCCATTCAGTGTATAGTTTTTTCACTTAATCTCTCCATTTTCAGTTGTATACCTCGTTCCCTCCTTTTATCATGCCTGGGGCTCTAAGTCGGGAGACTCTCTGATTCATTTTCTCAAGAGATTAAACCTGTCAGGGTAGGGTCAAGGGCGATCTTTAGTTATTTGGGGTAAAAAAAGGGTGGTAGTGTCTGTGGGTCCTTATATTGCCCTCATCCATTCTTTGTTTTCTTGTTAGGGTCCCACCTCTACTCTCCCCGGTATCTCTTGCCTCGGAGTCCTGAGGTTTTCTCGGAGGCTTATTATTGTTACTCCTTACGCAAGCATGTGTACGTGTGTTAATTACCGTGTCTCCGTTTACTTTCCTCCTTCCAGCGCACTGACCCTTGCAAGCGCATTGACCCCTCTCGTCTACTAGTTGGTTTTTTTCTCATTTTCTTTGTCATTGTGAGTTTATACATTAACATTCAAAAAAAATCTTTCCTGTCATGTTACTAGAGTTTAGAGCAGAGGTCAATGTATATACTTAGCTCATATGTTCAGCAGGAAGTCCTAGCTCATGTTTTTTATTGAATTAAGTTTCACAAAAGTCAAATTTCTGCAATTGACTACTAGCAATCAACTGGTTTTTTTGTTTGTTTGTTTTTGTTTTTTTGGTAACAAGTCTGAGTATATAGGATGAAAGTTTAAGGACGCTCATTTTAGTTCCCAGTTTAGAAAGATCTATTAGCCCAGCATAGTGAATTTAGACTCATTGGATTTATTTCCTTGGATTTACTTATAACAATATGTTGGAAATGTGTTAAGTAGAAAAATTGGCAGGATCAAAGAGTATGTGTGTGTTTGCAATTGTGGCAGCAAGAGAAACCAGTAGAAGGAAAGAATGGATCCAAGAGAAGGCAGTGTCAGATCTGGGGTGGGAGGGAGGGTGGTGTTTCAGATGATCACCATATAAACATGTTTAATTTCATCTATCGTTTTTAAACGAGCATCTAAAATTGACTTTTTTTCTTAAAGAAGCAGAGGCATACATACATAGAACAGACTGGCGCCTGTCAGAGGGGAGGGGGGCGGGAGACTGGGTGAAGGAAAGTGAAGGGATTAGCCAAAGAACATACCGTTAACACGCAGACACAGAAAACGGTGTGATGACGGGCAGAGGGAGAGGGAGTAGGGGTGAGGTGGAGGGGGCAAAGCAGGGGGTGGGCAGATGGACAGGAATTTTGCCTGGGCGGGTGGGCGCAGGATGCAGTGTGCGGATGGTATTTTATTGAGCAGGACACTCGAAACCTGTGTGGTTTTGCAAACCAATGTCACCCCAGTAGATTCAATTAACAAATAAAGTTGATTTTTTTCTTCACCGTGTAATCTCACAGACGATTGGTGCTTTATCAATGTCACAGAAAGACTGCCGCAATTCCAAGCTCTCATTATCTCAGCTGCTTCCAGGAGCCTCGTAGAAGTCAAATGGTGAGCAAATGACCAGAGCTACGATCATTTTTTGGTCAAGCAACTGAGAAGGGGATGTTTTGGTTTATTGGGCCCAATAGGATCTGTTACGTTTTGAGTGGCCGTCAAGAGATCAGTGGACCCATCATTTCTGTTCTTTTTAAAAAATCCTTTGACTTTCCTTCAAACAAACTGGCAATGTAGTTTTAGATTTCTGTCTGTCATATTGTTAAGTGGTATGAATGGAAATGAAACACATTCCCCAAAATAGCTCAAGGTCTTGCTACAAGGCCAACTGTGGAGAAAACTAATATATTTTTCTAACCGTTCCCCTTGGATACATTTTTAATAGATAATTCAATCTTAATGGTTCCATCCCACCTCAGTAGAACTGGCTCCCCCTTCACTGTGTCTTTGGAGTAAACATCCATATTTCCTCTGGATTTATGACTGCAGTTGCCAATACCATGAATTACCGTAGTGCTGTATAGCATTGCTAGATGCTGACTCCACTTCTTCGGAAAAAAGAGATACCATGTTGGAGTTTTAAAATTTCTTGATCATAGAAGATGCCGGAACATTACTCAAGATTCTAGGTGAGCTTCATCACTGAGTTTTTGTGCTGCCATCGTAAATCATTTAAGTTTCCTGTGTCTACAGCCATTCAATAGGTGACACTCAGCTGTGTAAGGGACTCACAGTCCAGTGAGCTTAATAGAAGATACGTGTATCCAGGGGTAGAACTGGGTTTAATCGTCTTTGTTTTCTCTTGCTTAAATTCATAATAGTTACTCACTACATGTTGACCAACAGAATTGCCAAGAGAAGTTGGATGCAGGGCAAGTGGGAGTTCTGAGAGCCTAACCAGGATAATCGTATGTACATTTAGTACAGTCAGCTTGATTGGAAAGGCTATGGTGAGGAGCAGCCCACAGGGCTGCACGTTCTTCAGTATAACATGAAGTACTGAGCTGATTATAGTGGCTAGAAGATGAAAAGAGAGGTATTTTAATGGGCAAATCCTTAGCTGGTATATAGTCTGCAACCAGTATGTGGCTGAACAGTGATCTCTCCTGTTGAAGGGGCTGCAGCGTAGCGTTTGAATTGCCTTCACATTCAGTGGTGGTTTGTTTCAAAGGCTTGGATACTCTCCACTGTCTACTGTCTGAAAGCAACTCTACATCAGATGTGAGGAAACGTGGCTGACTTTAAACTTCGGCTGGCACAGGCAAAGGATGGAGACGGCGGCAGAGATCGTTCATGCATGGCTGATGCTAGGGAGAGGTCTGGATGGTATAGTCATGGAAAGGAAAAGGTGTGATGCAGAACAACATCTTCCTTTTAATTCAGGCAGGACGTTCCCTCCTTCTCCCGCCCTCCGAGGTCTCTAAGGAGCCTCCTGTTACAGAAAATATGTGAAAGGAAGGAGAGGCTGCCCTAATTTTCGAGGTTTGAGGATGACATTTCTAATATTGGTCTTATGGGAGCATTGTGATTTCTTTTTTTGGTTTTATAAAAAGAAATCATTGTTTTCCTTTTTCTTTTTTACTTTCTAAGGAGTCACCTCTTTCTAAACTTGGGTTTCCTCAGGTCCCTCCTGAGGCATTTTCAAACAAAGCCAACACTTGAATTTTACCCACCAAAGTAGAACAAAGTATCTGCTCATAGGAACCAAACAGCCTGGTGACTGGTGGGAAAAGGCATGGAAGTGAGGGGACCTGTGTTTTAAACTCGCTTCCCTGCTTATTCCATATCTGCCACCAGCCAATCTCAAATCTTGCTGAGCCTCTCTCCTTCTCTCTAAAGTGGGGTTAATGGGGGATTTCATCTGCAAAGTGGGGATCACAGAGATTACGAGAGATGACGTGGTTGCACCGTGCCCCAAATAAACAACCATGAGGTGAAGCTTAGCAATAATACTATGACTGTGTGGTTGCAACGAAAGCTTTTCCCCGTGTGCTGTCAGAAATGCCTTTGGTCGAGTTCGATTTCCTTTCACACCGTCCGCCCTTCTCGGGTGGGGATCCAGTGACCTTACTGAAACCCGAGCACGCAGGGCTGCAGCTGGGAGTTCGGCTTTCTTTCTTCAGGGTTCAAATAGCCTGTTTAGAGAAGGCAGCAAGTACAAAGCAAAAAATCCAGCATATGCCAATAAATCTTGGAAAGTCATCTAAAGGAGGAAAAGATTGCCGCTTGGGAAGGAAAACGGCTCATATGGGGCATCCTTTCTGCTCTTCTTAAAAAACAACAACAACAAAAAAAACAAAAAAACCCCTCCGATGTTGCAATATTTCAAGGCAAACACTGTCCCAGCCTGAGGAAGAAACTCTGAGAAACAGAAAAGGATATACCTGGGGTTCCGAGGCGGCGTCCGCCAGGGGCGGTGCGCCGGGAGCGCGGAACCACGCACATCTGGTGGTTGGGGGGCGGCGGGGGAGTCATTATTTCCACCCGAAGGTGGAAGAAATTGCTCCCGCTTCGGAGAAGTCCCTCCGCGGAGACAGTCCCGGGTCCCGCCCGCCCCCTTCAGCTCTTTCGGACCCCACAACGTGCTCTGACTGCGGTGCCTTTAAGAGTTGTGCACATGCTCAGCTCTTCATGTGTTGTTGAGTTTCTCTCTTTCAAGAAAAAAAAAAAAAAGGAGAAGAAGAAACACGCAGAAGGATGGGGCGGAGGAAGGGGAAGCGCCAGGAAAAAAAGCATTGCACTTTTGCAGCTGCAGACAGCGGACGCGAAGGGCTTCTTTTTTGCTGAAGCTGCGAAGCCGGTCCCGAGCTGATCCTTCGTTTGTGGGGCTCAGCAGGCGCGTGGCGCGAGTGGGGGCCCCCGCGCGTGGCGGGCAAGGGCACCGCGGGCACGCGGACCGCACCTGGGGGGCCAGCCACCCCTCCGCTCCCGGGCCGGCCGGGTGGGCGCGCGCGGGGGAGTCCCGGGTCCCGGCGAAGGCGGGGCGAAACCACGCGCAGGGCCTGTGGGGGGAGCGCGGGCCGGCGAGAGGCGGGGAGGCAGCCCCGCACCCCGCGAGCACCGGCCGCCGGTCCGGTGGCTGGTTGGCGGCACCGGGGAGGGAAGGGCTGCTGGGGGGCGGCCGGCCGCGGGCCTGGCTGTGCGAGGCTGAGTCCGCTTTCCCGAACCCTCCCTCCCGCATTGGGCGCGCCCACCTCGGGGCTCCAGCTGGTCCCCGCCCTCCCGGGCGCGCGGGGCTGCGAGCCCAGGCAGTTGGCGCGAGCCGCGGTGCAGGCGGGGCCGCGCGCCGGGTCCCCTCCCCCCCCAGCAGGTCCCCGGCCGCAGGTCCCCTCCGGAGCGCCCAGCGCAGCCGGCACTGCCCGCTGCCCGCCTCGGGTCCGGCCCGGGGCGCCGCCGCGGTGGGCTCGGCCCGCGGAGGACAAGGTCAGGAGACGGAGAGGCGATGCCCGAGTACGACTGGAGGGAGCCGAGCGGAGGCGACCGCGGTTGGGATCTGTGCCTCCTGACCCGACAGCGGGACTGGGGCAGGCGGCGGTGAAGAGCGGCAGAAGCGGCGGCCGGGGCACGGTCTCCTCCGGCCGGATTCCCCCTCTGGCGCATCCCCGTCCGTGCCCGCGAGCGCAGCCCCGCCGGGCAGGGGCCCAGGGGAAGATGGAGCCGGGGGCCCCGGCCCGCACTGGCCCCCCGCAGCCGGCGGCCCCGGGGCTCTGGAGGGCTCGGCCGGCGGGCGGCGGGGGCGCCTCCTCCTGGCTGCCGGACGGAAACAACTGGCTGCTGTGCTATGGCTTCCTCTACCTGGCGCTCTACGCGCAGGTGTCCCAGTCCAAGCCTTGCGAGAGGACCGGCTCCTGCTTCTCCGGCCGCTGCGTCAACTCCACCTGCGTCTGCGACCCGGGCTGGGTGGGGGACCGGTGCCAGCACTGCCAGGGCAGGTTCAAGTAAGTGCCTTGCCAGACCCCGAACCTCAGCCCTGCTTCGCACCCGACGCGGCCTCCCTCCTCCCCCGTGGCCTCGGGTCCCCGGCCCCGGGAGGAGCACTGACCGCTCTGGACGCTAAGCCTTTCCCAGTGGTCCAGATGTCCGCAGCGACTTCTGGTCCCCTGCTCATCAGTATTTCACTTATGGTGCCAAACACCATTTTTTTTAGGACACTATTTTTAATAAAAAAATTATGCAAGTAATTCATGACGTGCATGGGCGCTGTGAAACATTCAAAACAGCACGGAGGTGTAAAGGTTAAAAGTTATGGTCTCCCAAAGCCAGCCCCCGCTCCTGTTTCTCTCTCTACCGGTAACCACTGCTAACACTTTATTTAGTAATAATAATGACCATAAGTAAAATTTATAATGGGCTCACTGTGTGGCAGACACCGTTCTAAGTGCCAGCGTGGATTATCTCATTTGTCCTCGCATCCATTCCGTGAGGCACTAGAAATATTATAATGGATTTACAGAGAAGTCAAGGCAACGGATCTAAGTCATTCGCCCACGATTACACAGTAGAAGGGCAGATGCGTGATTCACATCAGCCAGCCTAACTCCCGAGTGTTTACTCTCAGCCAATAGACTGTATTGGATTTGGTAGGACAAGCCTGAATTGAGGAGTGCGAGCGTGCCTTGGGGGTAGATGAGAGAAGGAAACACCCGGAGTCTTTGACGTGGTGAAGATAATGAGGTTTCCTCACCAGTTATTTCATGGCCAGCTGCTGTGTCAGAGCGTCGTTCTGGTTTTTCTGAAGCTCAAGGCCCCAAAGACTTCGCTTTACAGCAGGGGGATTCGCTCTCCCTATTGGATGAGGTTCATTGCATTCCTGCTGGAAAGGAAGAGAAATGAGTGAATGTAGGGAAACCTAAAATAAGATAGCGGAGGACATTAAAGTAGATGTTTGACAGCTTGCAGTGAAGTGAGTCAGTCAACTTCGTAGCTTTCTAGGTAGTTACCATGAAGTTTTCTGGCTGGTTTGTGGCTCTGACATTACAGTATGTGGATTGCTAACTTTTATTGTCAGGATGATAGCACTATCTAAGTGAAATGTCTCTTGGGGGCTAGGACGAAGGTAGGGGTATGGTTCACTTTATTAATGTGTTATAGAAAAGTTTCCTGGAGTTCTGAACTCAGCATTCATTCATTTGTTTATTTATTTATTTATTTCACTGTTGCCGATTAAAACAGTGGCCTGAAAACTCATTGTAAAAATGTATTTTTTTAAATGGCACTTTTTAATTTTAGGGAGATCCTACTATTTAATTTACAGCAGGTTTTGGGAAGTGAAATCTCAAGATGAAATTTTATGAAATTCATTTGTAGCAGTAGGTTGACATGTTCCCTAGCTCCGCACTTTCACAAATTAGTATAACACTATATATTTTTAAAATTTGGGAGAGATGCTAATTAAACTTTTAAAAAGGGTTTCGAGATGAGGAAAGATAGCATACTGTATTGTGCTTGTTAGCCTTTTTAAAAATTGATTTGGCGGGGGAGAGAGAGAGACATCAATTTGTTGTTCCACTTCATCTGTGCACTCATTTGCTGATTCTTGTCTGTGCCCTGACTGGGAACAGAACGCACAACCTTGGCAAATCAGGATGATGCTCTAACCAGCTGAGCTACCCGGCCAGGCAATTAGCCCCTTTTCCTTTTTCCCTTAAGTGTCCTTAAGCTTTTACTATGAGTATGGTAGCCAGCCTCCCTACCTAGCAGGAGAGACTTTGAACATAAACTGGGAGCCAACAATGAAAAAAGCCATATGCATTTTTCCATCTTCTTGTACATGAATAGGAAGATAGCCTGATTCCTAGGTAATTTAGGCATGTTGGCCTTCATGTGGGGGGATTTGCGCCATCTGACTTTGGACAAATTGCTCCAGTCCCGAGAAGCCCTTGTCCACATTGAATAGTAGTGGACTCATGAGTCAGCTCCATCAGCAGCTTGTAGCCTCGCAAGCAGATGTTGTCCCAGTTGGTAGGAAAGACTACAGATCAAACTAAAACTGGCTTAAATGGCAGAGAAATGGTGCTCATGAGCACAATACATTAATGAGTAAAAGAGGAATAGCTTTTTAAATATAGATATAGTTAAATAACAATAAACCCTGAGCTAGTAATTTATTGAACGTTCCTCATTTCCTTGGAAGCTGTAATTTCCTGCAATTCATTGTATTCTATTGATAAGTAGAATGCATTTCATATCTCTGCAGAATACAGGCTATTAATTAGAGTAAATATAACTGGTACAACTTTGTGTTTTGTTATGTATGCTCTTAGGGGGTAAAGAAAACGTGACATTTAACATTCAAGGGAAGAATCGATTCAGAAGAAAATTCTTCCTAATAAAGTCCAAGCTAAGCTCAGAGAGATTTATTTGAGGATGGTGGCTTGAAGTAATAACAGTGGGAAAGACTTTAACTGGAAATTCTCACTTCATTAATTATCTTGGCAATCTTTTACAAAACTGGAGGATAGCAAACTAACAAACAGACATAAGAAATGATCAATCTTGGTAAGCAGGTGTCAAAATTAATTGGCTGGTTCCATGGTAACTTAGCTCCCCGTCTACTATAGGGATTTCACTGGGGAATGTTCGTCAGATGCTGCTTTAGAATGGAAGATTGATGGTTGGTGGGGGTGGGGGTGTGTGTGGAGGGGAAGGCAGAAGAAGCAAATGTGATATTAAAAGTGGTACTCCAGTTCTCTTAGCACCCATTCCCGTCTTCTCTGTGCTTCCACTTGAAAAGAATAAAACACTCAGAATTATGAGGCACTCCTCATACAGGTAAAACAAAATGAACACTGACCCTCAGCTGCAGCAGTCCTGAAAGATTTAGGACTGAGAATTGGAATAGGCTGGTTCCAATTGGAAACGCAATCATTGAAGTTATGATACATGCTAATTCAAACAGTATTTACTTGACTAGCTTACTATAACATTAGGCCAGGAAACATTTTGCTGTAAAATCTATTTGAATTCATAGCATTTTCTTTTACAAGCTGGTTAGAATTTTTTTTTAGAATAGTTGAGATTTATATGTACATTAATTTATATGTTGTGTTCACAAATCCGTTTTCTTGTTAATGTGACTTAGGAACCTATGACTTTTAACTTCTGTCAGGTAAAAAGAAAAACCTAAACAATGCTCTGAGGTTGGAAAATATCTCATTATATTATGAATAATTTGTCAATGTTAATTTGTTAATAAACATTTATTGAACATCTTCTAAAATCACCTGTGAAATCTTATTACATACTCACTATATAGAGATTTTTTAACTTCATAGGTTAGGCAAATACATATACTGAAGCGCACACATGTATAATGGGAACATTTATTTCTGGGGACAGCAAGCAGAAGATATATTAGGAATGAGGCTGCTATAAAAAATGAAATAGGGTAGCATTAAATGTGCAAATGTTTTTCTTAAGTTACTAGTATGTAACTTAAGAAAGTTACATCTATATACACATACACACATATATTTGGAATCCTTGTTATTAATAGTAGGAAAACTGTCCATAAGTGTAAAGTTTTTTTTTTTTAAAGATTTTATTTATTTATCTTTAGAGGGGAAGGGAAGGAGAGAGGGAGAGAAGTATCAATGTATGGTTGCCTTTCATGCGTCCCCTGCTGGGAATTGGCCTGCAGGGAACTGGTCTGCAACCCAGGAATGTGCCCTGACTGGGAATCGAACCGCGATTGTCTGGTTCGCAGGCCCGTGCATAAGTGTAAAGTTAAATCGAATGTTCCCTGTCCCCTGCTCTTCTTTATTGCAAACTAAGTTGTAATATGTCATTTACATCCACACATTCTTTTTAATTCTTAAAAATCACAGAGTAGAACTATAAAAACGATTTAAATGGAATGTTTCTAAGATCCTGAATTGATAACGTTACTTGTAGCATGTTTTTCGAGGCCATGTGTCTGCGTGGTTTGGCCCTTGAAGCAGATTGGACCCTCCCTTCCTTTTTTCTGCCACCTTCTTTCAAAGTTCCCTGCCTGAGTCACATTCCCCTGGGCCTCAGAGCCTTTTCACACTGTGCTGTTTCTTCTCTCGGAACCTTCTTTTCCTATCTGGGCAGGTGTCTTTTCTTTTATTTATTTATTTATTTATTTTTGTGTGTAGCTGATTACTAAACATCCTTCACTTCTTAGCTTATACTAAGGAGGCTTTTCTGACTTGAGGCTGTGTTTTCTCTTACTATGTACTGTTACAGCATGGCTTTTTTTTCTTTTTAGTATGTTCAAAATGAATTACTTAATTGCAATTGTTATTTTTTAATTTTTTATTCTAAAAGTATTTTTTATTGATTATGCTGTTACAGTTGTTCTATTCCCCCCTTCATTCCCCTCCACCCTACCCTCCCATCCCCACTATTACCCCCCTTTAGTTTATGACCATGTGTCTCAAGTCCTTTAGATTCTATATTTCCCATACTATTCTTGCCCCCCCATCTATTTTCTGTCTACCATCTATGCTACTTATTTTCTGTACCTTCTCCCCCCTTCTTCTCCTCCCACTCCCCTGTTGCTAACTCTCCTTGAGATCTTCATTTCTATGTTTCCACTCCTGATCTAGCTGTCCTTTTAGTTTGCTTTTGTTTTAGGTGTGGTTGTTAATAACTGTGAGTTTGCTGTCCTTTCACTGTTCATGTTTTTTTAACTTCTTTTTCTTAGATAAGTCCCTTTAACATTTCATATAATAAGGGCTTGGTGATGATGAACTCCTTGAATTTGATCTTATCTGAGAAGCACTTTATCTGTCCTTCCATTCTAAATGAAAGTTTTGCTGGATAGAGCAATCTTGGTTGTAGGTCTTTGGATTTCATGACTTGGAATACCTCTTTCCTGCCCCTTCTTGCCTGTAAGGTCTCTTTTGAGAAATCCGCTGACAGTCTGATGGGGACTCCTTTGTAGGTGACTGTCCTCTTATCTCTTGCTGCTTCT